GGGGAGAGATGTGTTATTGCAGAGAATAAACCATTCTGGAATATTCATAGTATATACAGATTGTACTTAACAACATGCAATGATTAGCAAAAATTTACAATATCTCTTAGCATTACCTATATTTAAATTTTAAATACATTTTAAATACAGTTACTTAGAGAAGAACAAAATACCAAAAGACAAACAAAATGCATTTTACAGCTCAAAACCCAAATAATCAGCAAACACAATGTCAATCAGCTTATGGGTATCCTCAAAAAACAAAGAGAAAAAGAAGAAGATGAAAGGACTTTGAGGAATGAAAAATTGCTGATCACATCAGAATGGACCTCCTATGTAGGAGAAAATATTATTAGAAGGTCACCAGGGAAACTAGGTCACTTAAGTATTCCAGGCAGATATATAGTGCATTTAGGACAGGGCAGAAGAGCAGTAATATGATTAAGAAGGTCTAAGAAGTAGCATTGGATTAACTCATATCAGACAATGAAAAGAAACTTGGACTTTATGTGGTAGGAAAGTTAAGTATTAAATGCAAAATAAATTCATTTCATAACTATATTTTAAAAGAAACAAACAACCAAAACCTTAGTCCAAGTCATGAAAGACTGAAAGTACACTAAAAAAAATACAGTTCACTAATTCATTACTGATTGAACTAATATTCTAATTGAACTGATTGAACTAATTGAACACATAAGCTCATGTACAGAAGAGTTACAGAACAAGCTGTTGAACACTATTCTGTGCTCTCTATGTTTGTCCATTGATCCACTGACATATTAACAGAAAGCAAGCTCACAGAAAGGCAGATGAATGCAAGGAGATGAGAAGATGGGCTGAGCTTATAACAGTCATACAAATAAACGTTCTTTGGAACAAAAATGGTTACATGAAAGCAACACAAAAGACACATCCTGAAAAGAACATGAAGATGTTTTTAAAAATAAGTATTAAGTTATGATAACAGAGCATTTATATAATCAGTACAGCTTGAAGAAAAGCAGGAACTTTCACAATGCTTTTTCTGCCTTTCCTGTATTCATTAGCTCCTGAGAGAAACTACAGGTATTTTTATAGAAAGGTGATTACTACTAAGAACCTCCCATAGCTTCTGCGGATTTATATTGTATTATTCCTAATCCTTGTAATCCCTTATCACTACAGAAGAAAATTTAAATTCCTTCAGTTTCAAGAAGCCAGAGACAGTGCTTCATACTGAAGAAAAAAATGGACTGTAAGTGGCATAAAGTTAGACTTTTATCCACATGAAGGCAGTGTGGAGACACTTCATACTGCTTTAGATTTTATGACTGGTTTTGCAATGTAGTTTCATGATTGGTTTTTTTACAAAGCTGTGATTACTAAATGTCTGCCTATTGCATTGCAAGTTTCATTTTAAAAGTATACATATTATGTTTAGAGAAGAAAAAAACTCCAATGAATAATTTTCTTTAATCAGTCAACTGATAAACTTGTTTGCATGATGGCAAGTATTTTAAGCACATACTACAAAACATATTCCACTAACAAAAATCTGTCAGATTATACTTCACAATGGAAAGATGCTTTTGCATGGATTTTATCACTCTCAAAATGTGCAAGTAATTGCATAAGGAATTCATACACAGGAAGTCAAAAGGCTTATGAGGGACAAATAGAACATATGAAAAAAGATCAAACAAAAAAACAGAAACCCTGACTTGCAAAGTTAAGGACAAAGTGGCAGAGGCTTTGAGAAACACACTGAGATTGACAGACAAGGATCAACAGTGATAACATAGAAAGCAGCAGCACCAATAAAGCCTGAAGAAAGATAACTGTGTGAAGTAAAATAGCTATTACTGGGAAATGTAAGAAGTGAAATTTCAAGGCAGAAGGCATGACAATATAAATATGCACAGAAGATAACGGAAATAAAGAGTATAAGGTAGAAAGCTGGAACAGTGTAATGAAAATGTAAACTCTTTTTCTCTCTAGGTAATAAAATTAATAAAGGAGGTCTGAAAGAGATGGACACCTGATACACTGTAAATAAAATCTTTCTGTGATAGGAGAAAAGGAATATTTATTTTTCTGATCTTGGCTTCTTAATAAACTGGACGTGAGAGCTGTACAGCCATTCTTCATTGTCCTTAAAATGTAAATAGAAGTTTTATAAGTGAAATACCATGTGTGTAGTACAGAAAATTGCTTCCTAAATTTTATAGAACATGTCACAGGTACTGTAGAAGAAAATGTGTAAAATTAGATAATATCTCAAACCCAGAGACAAACTGTTAAAACATAATTTATAGTACTGACCAAATGAATTGTATATTTGACAAAGACATTAAAGGAAATTAGGGGGACTTAAAAATACATTAGTTAAAAAGCCTGCTCCCTATGAGACTGATGAGACATAAGAGACACTTAGCTACCATAATGAGATCACAACAAGGATAGAAAGGAAGAAAATATTCTAGACTTTTAATGAACCAAATAACAGAATCAGGGAGTAAGTGAATTCCAAAGTTAGCAGCGATCACTGAAATAATGGTTAAAAAACTTAATTCCTTAAAGCTACATTTTGGTAACAATGTATTTCAAAGAAAAAATAGATGAGAAATGTTTGAGATCTCAGTTATTTTGATTCCACACTATTTTATGTGCCAGAGACATGGGAAAAATAAGTTAATTCTTAAAGGTAAGAAATGGTCATGATATAAGTATGAATGATTGAATCAAGAATATCCTGAGTTGGAAGGGACCACAAGCATCATTGAAGCAAAACTCCTGGGCCTGCACATGACGTCCCAAGAGTCACACCATGTGCCTGAGAGTGTTGTCCAAACACTTGTTGAATTCTGGCAGGCCTGGGGCTGTGACCACTTCCCTGGGAAGCCTCTTCCAGTGCACAACCACTCTCTGGGTGAAGCACCTGAATTTAACCTAAATCTCCCCTGACAGAGCTTCACAGCTTTGTTCACTAGGAGTTAGAGTATTATATGCTGAAGACTTCTCCAGCCTGTTAAGAATCCTGCGACATAAAACTGCTGTTAGTTATCAGTTAAGTAAATGCTGTTAGTTATCAGTTAAGTAGCTAGTCCTAGTTAGTAAGAATTAAACTGTTTAAAATAAAATAAAAGTTTACAAAAATTAAAATAAATACCTTTACAGTCCTGACAAATCAACAGTAAAAGTATAAAGGTGCAACAAGTACAAAATAGAAAATGCAACTAATCTTCATTGTCAATAGAGAAGTGCAAGCAATAACTGCAGTCTGAATATTAACTCAAAGTATTTGAGATTTTTTTCACTGTCAATTTGCAAAGAGTAGGGACAAAGACTGTTGATGTTTATTTCTTCATGCTCACATAAAAAAAGTAACTGCAATGCTAAAGAAACAAGAGATAAGAAAAGCTTCAGTAAGCATTAAGGGGACCAGAATACTTTTTAAACAGCAAGACAAGAGTCATCTGTGGCCTGGAAGAACTCTTTTTCTGTTTTGATATTCTGGGAAACTCAGATTTAAACCATGTGTCCAATTTGCTATCAAATGTTAGATGTCTGCACCTATGTGGTTTTGGTTTTTGAGAGATACTTATGTTTTATAGCAGTGGTGAGCTCAAAGCATTGCTTCTATTGATCTAAGCTGCAGTGATAAAAACTCAGCACTTGTGAGTTTTGTTGCACATATCTCAATTTACAGGTCTTACATATGAGAGAGTATCTGAAATACCTCAATGAGTAGAGAGTGACTTGACCACAATTCAGTTCTCTAAAGAGGTACTTCAACCATTTTTTTGTAATCTTTTTTTCTTTGAATGCATGCATTCTACTCTCAAACTGTAGAAAAACCAAATAAAAGCGTTCTACAAAACTACCTCTATTTGCTAGGAAGCATCAACAGATTTCTTGTGCAATATCTGTTCAGTTCATTACATGAGAGAGAAATAGTCAAAAGTCATCCCTCAAATACAGAAGGGACCAAAATAAAGAGTGGGCGACTGAAAAAAAGTTTCATGAACAGCATCTTGGCATTTCTACATTTCTGAATTCTACACTGAGTGCCTGAGGTACAAGATCAATATTATTGTGATTTTTTTATATTGTTTTGTAATTGAAAAAAATCAAGCCTTGACACTAATAACAAAAACGTTGTACCAACTTGAGCAGAGGGGGAGGAATGCCTTCCCTTCATGAGCAGGGCAGAAAGCCCTTCCCAAAAATATGTGGCTTGATTATCTGGCTGTAGCACTACCTTCCCACCTGCCCTACGAAGGCCATGCAGCATGTGGCTTTGAAACTTTGAAATGTTTCTCCGAGATACTGAGAAAATGGCTCTGAGTGTCAGAATCCAGTCCCTTTCCTGATTCTTCCAGACAGCTTGTTCCAGAGGTAACTCACTTCACCTTGCATACAGACCGACAAATCTCCCTGCCAGACAGCCTTCCACAATTTTAGTTCCGTCGAGCAACAGCCACGGTGATTTCCAGACTCCGGGAGAGCGTCAGCGCCCTCCGCCACCCGCCCCAGCCTGCCGGCGCCTCCCTGCGCCTTGTGGGACCCCCTCCCCTCTGTCTGACGGAAGACCGCCCCTTCCCGCTCCTCGCTGCAGCCGGGCCTGGAGCGCCGCGCCGCCGGGACCACCTCAGACGGATTTCGGCGCCGCCTTCCCGCTGCAGGTTCAGGCGCCCACCAGCGCCTCGGACCCCTGGGAGCTCGGGCACTGCGCAGCGCCCTGCCGTGCCTCACGGGAGAGAAGGCGGTCGCGGGGAACGCCGCTGCTCCGCGGGCGGCCGCAGCGGAGCCCAGCGCTGTCCCGCTCGGCGCCGTGGCCCCGGCCGCACGGTAAGCTGAGGGGAAGGGCAGCCCCAGCGGGGCCACTTACCCGGCCGGGATCGCCCTGCGGCTCCGCGCCAGCGGCCCCGGCGACCGCGGAGCGTCAGTAACAACGTCCCGGAACGGCCGCTCCGCCACATCCGGGGGCGGGGCGTGGGAAGGCGGGAACTTGCCGGGCTGGGGCGCCTGGCGGGCATCGGAGTGGACCCGACTCGACCCGACCCGAACCGAACCGAACCGAACCGAACCGAACCGAACCAGCGTCAGTGCCGGTACGGCGCCTTCACCCGTGGCTTCCGTACGTGAGCGCTGGAGGGCTCCCCGCCGCAGCCAGGGGCCCTCGCTCGTCACCTCCTGACCGGCACCGCCGCCAGCCTGCCGCACCTCGGCTGCGTGTCCCTGTTACGGGGACGGCGGGGTTCCTTCCCCCCGCGGGGCGATGGAGGCTGCCCCGCACTGCCGACAGCGGAGCAGGGGCCCGAAGGACTGAACCTCCACGCGTTTGGGTGTAGAGCCAAGATGCCAGACCTGGGGGGCTCGGCCCACTGCAGGCTGCAGTTTGGGTTTCTCAGGCTGCTCCGTTACCGCTTATCAGGTGTCCTTGCTGTGGCAGGCAGTGAGAGCTTAAAATGTGGTGTACCATCATTCATTCCTTTTGGTGTGTTTTCCTATTTTATTGGAAAAGAAGTAGCAAATAATAGTTAGGCCTTGCAAGCAACTTGCCGTGGTGTGTATTTTGTGTGTTAATGTTTCCTTTTCATTCTTCTTTCAACAGATGGCAAGTTGCGGCCAGAAAAGGATAATACAAATAACTGGATTTAAAAAACAAGAGAAGAAGGCACTGCTCAAATGCCTGTCCAAGCTGAACTGTGTTTTTGTAGAGAGTAAGGTACTGTACAATTCATTACAATACAACAAAGAGAATTAGAGCTGTAAAATGCAAGTCTTAGAAGAAAGGACTATGCAATAGGTTAGGTATGTATATAAATAGACAAAGAACTTAAATATTTCCAGTGATACAAAGTGTGTTGTTTTGTTTTGTTAGAAATACAGAAATTGTACACATCTTGTAGCAAAAAAGCTGTGCAAGAGTGAAAAGGTCTTAGCTGCCTGCGCTGCTGGTGAGTAAAAGATTTGCTGTTCAATTTCATATCATTACAGCATAAGTCTGGAAAGGACCCTTAAAAGGGTTTTAGTTACTTGTTTTAATTTTGTGAATGAACTGTCTTACAAACCTTCATTCTTCTTGTTCCATTAACCTTGATTTTTAACATAGTGTTATGGTGAAGTGGAGTCCACTTTCTTGTTTTGATTTTTTTTTCCCTAAATGATAATCCTGCTATTTCCCTTTGTTGAATCTGCATCTGTTCCCAAACAGAACACTTTGTTATACTTTAGATAATGAAGTCATGCTCAAATTATTTGGGTGCTTAAAAGAGGGCAGAGGGAGTACGAACCCTGTAGTCAGCATGGATTTTTGATGACAAATTCATGTGGAACATTCACTGGTAAAGGTCATTGTAAGTTCTTGTTTATGCAGCAAGAGAAAATTCCAGGCTGTTGCCATTCTCACACCAGCTTCTGGTCTTTTCTGTTTAACTAGGGTCTGGTGCTGAAATCCCATTCATTAGCAACTAAAATGCTTTTAGAATGAAAATTCTGTATTTTAAATTTTTTTTATAGACTGATCACCTGTCAGAATTCTGTGATGCTGTTTGAGTATCTTGTAGTTTTGAGATATCACAATACCATTTTTAAGCATGATATTTATTTTCCCTGTATCATATTACTCTAAAGTGTTAAAGCAGTTGTTAGGATGGATAATCTTAAATTAAGAGGTAATAGACAAATGACTAAAGACACATTTAGGTTTAAAGATATATGTAAATCCCTTGATTTCTGTAATATATGTATGTATTTTTCTTTGTACTAAGATAAAATTCTGATTTCAATCTTACAAAAACGAAATAGCCCAAAAGTTTCCAAGAGGGGAAAAAATCATAAAATGCATCTAGGTTTCTAGCACAGCACTTCGTTTTAGCAATTCTAAACCTTTGAGTTAATGTTTTCTTACTTTTTGGAGTTTAAAATTTGAAGATATTTTCTTGAACAGAGTGGAAATGGTACAATGTAGCATCCTCATGGTGATGCAAAACTCTGTCATGCTTCGATACATGCAAATCTTCCCCAATACCATCTAATACTTCTTAATCCAGAAGAGGTGCTTATTTTGCATAGTCATTGCTCTTACTATGATGGCAGAGACAGTGTATTCATTCCTACTGTGTTGTTTTCCAGGTAGTGAAGAAAGATCATGTTTAAACACATTTAGAACTCCATAGAGTTCAGCAGAAATACTATCAAGGCTACCACCTGTCATGTACTTCCTACCTGACAGAAGTTTTGGGGTGGAAACTTCACATGAAAGTGGTTTTAACATCCAGGTCATGCACAGCATACCTTTTCCAGCTATAAATCCACTGGTACCTATAATAGGTTTTGTAGAAGTGCCATCTGTGCTCCTGCACTGAGACATTTTGTCAGTCAAAGCTGCTGTTCTGCGAAACCAATTAGGTTCACACAGTTCAAGTCAATTTCTCTTACAGTGTCTTCTGTAGGTAGTGTTTCAATACAGGAGCAGGTTACTAACCACTGCTCTTGACCTGAACCTGTAAGAAGAGAGAGAGACAGAGAGAAGGGGAAGATCATTACATACTATATCAAAAGCATACGTGTGGAAGATGAAAGAGGAGAGGCGGAGGAGGTGGAGCCAAGGGATGAGAGAAAAGGATTGGAAAAGAAGAAAGGAGAAAGAAAAAAGTCTAAAACAGTGTCCCCGAATATTGATATTCACTACACCAACAGTGCAAGTAATATTAAGAATATGTAAGAGGAAGAGCTTACATGTTAAATGTCTAGTTCTTTAAAATCATAGATAGTAAAATATTTCTTCATTTTAGTACATTTTTAGAAGTGTCAAATGGTATTAAAAATAAAGGACTTACCAAGGTTCTGTGAAAGTCCTAAGAACAAAATCTGGGAAGCTGAAAAAATGTATCTGATATTTTTGAGGAGATAGACACATATTTTATCTAGGAAGGGTGAAAAGATCATTATTAAAAGAAAACAAAGCAATCATTTTCAGTGGCATTGTGAGATTTTTGATTCTGGAGTCTGAAGTGGAGGACTCTTGTAATAGGAACAAGTTTTTTAAATTGTACTTACAATTTCATCTTTTATTTGCACAAGAAATGTTTAAGTTAATTTTCTAGTAGTTCTTCAGTTGATTGCCATTTGTCTCCACAAAAAATCTTTTGTGGTTGACAGTTCATTTTCTTTTTAGGAAAGTGGGTACTAACTAAGGAGTACATAATTAATAGTGCTGAAAGTGGCAGATGGCTTGATGAAACAACGTACGAATGGGGATATGAAATTGAAAGAGACACCCATTATTCACCTCAAATGCAATCTGCACCTAAAAGATGGCGTGAAGAACTGACAAACTCTGGTGCTCCAGGGGCCTTCCACAGATGGAAAGTTGTCCTCCTTGTTAAGAGAGGCGATAAACGAATGGCATGTATTAGAAGGTAGGAGTTCCATCCCAGTTAATTTGATCCATAACAACCTGCAGCTATCCAAACTCTGAATTACTTTCATTAATATATTTCCATACTTTTATAAAGACTTTAAATCTGTAACATCACCACTTTTCTTGTCTTCTTTTAGTATGGTGTTAAAAATAACATGCATATGTTTTTATCAAGTAAGCTGCTAAGAGAAACTTCCTTCTTGAGGCAAGATACACAGATTTACAGTTTTTCTTTTCTACATTCAAATAGTAGCTGGAACTGTATACTTTATTTCACTTGAGTAGATGACCTGACTGTGTCTTATGGATCTGGGCCTCACTGCTACTGACCTGATGAGTCTTTATGTCACATTTATGTAATAGGTTCTTCTAGTTCTGAAGATGAAATCTGTTCTAAAACAGATGATTCTGATATATTGTAAATACAGATAGTTTAGAAAGTGAGTATAGAGAAGTAGAAAATGAAAGAAAGAAAAAAAGAAAGATAAGGAAAACCAAAGTGCAAGAATGCTGAGAATATATGTTTCTTTTCCATACTCTTTCTACACATTTGGATTCATTACTTTAAATTGTACACCTGAATTGAAATCAGTGCATATATTATTCGTATTTGCATCTGGTAGCATAAAAGGAACATCTCCTGACAGTTTCAGAGCTTTCCATTCATTCAGATACTGTCCAGCTTTCTGTTGAGATTCCAGTTAGTTAGGACTGCTCAGGTTTGAGTGTGCCACAGATCCACAGTCAAGAACAGAATTGCAGTTTGTTGGATCATGGTAAAGGGCTGCATGTTATATCACAGAATGCCTGTGTCTGTATTTCATAAAGACAAAGTGAGAGGTAATTGAAGTTGTTATCTTCTGATTTTGCCAACTGAAAATATTTTAAGTATTCTATTTTTTGGCGGAGTGGGAGAATTTTTACTATGTCCTGCTACACTTGTGAAAAATGCTGCTTCTTTTTCCATAAAAACTGCTTATGTAGATGTTCATGATAACACTGTTGAAATGCTGTCTTGCACAATGCTTTCTGTTTCTATTTCTTGCAATGGAAACAACCTTTAACAGGAACAACATCCGTAAGACAGGTGAACAAGTTTTGTGAAAGATGTTTTTTTACAGACTGTTTCCCATGCACTCAATTTTTAGTCAGTCATAAAACACTGACAGGTAGATATTTTTTGTCTTCAGCAGGTACTGTTTTCAGTCATAAAGGACACTATAGCTTTGGGGAATGTCTGGGTCTTTTTCTAGTATGTAACAGCACTGTGCCTTTTATCCCCTTTCTGTGCTCTTCCTGCCTTTAGTGCCTAGCTGTTGGATGGGTAAGTGTGTAAGACCAGCAGCATTTTCTTTTTATATATCTGGATTATGAAAAATAAAACCTATATCCAGAATGTCATGAAATCTTATTTTTCCACCTTTTCTTTTGTCTGGCATTTTTTCTAAAAGATAGGAGCACTTGCAGCTGAGCAGGTCTGGAAATTGACCATGGGGAAACTGTTATGTGTAATGGTGCCCCAAAGACAAGCAAATCTCTTTTCTGTATATGATACTTTTATGGTACTGGACAGCACTAGTGCTGCAAATGTATATTTCTGTTACAAAAGCATCATACTACTTTTCAGAAAAGGAGTCTGCCATTTTTTGTTAACTGCTTAATTTATAGGAAAACTTAACCAAAAGATCATTATTTTGGGATAGATAATGCAATAAATTATAGCTGTTGTCAACAAATACCTCAATATTGGAGGTGTACATTGATTTTAATAACTAGTGTTAAATTTTGAAGAGAGTAATGTTTTGTTAAGTGGGTTCTTTCATTTTTCAAAGACTATTAAGTGCCCTTTTATCTTTCGAACAAAGTTGTGCTGTGCCATACATCTAGAAGCCTTATTCAGTTGCACTTGCATGCTTGTATTTTGTGAATGTTATTGTAGCTTTAGGCAGTGTTAATATAATGTAGTAAATACATCTTTCTAAATATGTTTATTTAGAGTTCTTAAAGCTGGAAAGGCAACCATATGTTCATCTGAAAATGCAGAGCACAATGCAACTCATGTATTCATCGGTGGTAAAATTTCTTCTATACAAAATAAAAAGTGTCTCTCTGGAGCTCGACACTACCCTTTGCAATATATAGGACATTACCTTTTTCAAGTGAGTAAACTAATTTATTGATTACTGTAAATAATGCAGTGTTAGTAATGGAGGGGAATATAATCAGCCAGAGTGTTTTGTGAATTGATTAAACTTAAGACAACTTTCTGATTCTGGGACTATGTATGCAAAAGATAGGAAGGCTCATGAATATACACAAATACCTGAAGGCAGGATGTATAACAGGCGGTTGTCTGTGGTGCCCAGTTACAAGAAAATAAATGAGTATAAATGGAAAGTCAGGAACCACTTGGGTTTTCTTGCTGTAAGGTTGATGGAACACTGTAAGAGGTCACTGTAGAGTCTCCAGATGCCATATAGACATGGTCCTGTGCTAGTGCGGAATTCACTAGAACCAGAATTTTGTTTTACTATTTCCCTTAAGAGAGATGCCCCGTTTTTCATACTTGTTTGCTTACCAGATGTACTGCTTAGAAATTCTTAGTATTTTGATCTGTAACTGTTTGAAGGCTTCAGAATATTCATTTAGTTCTCAGACTCTGGGATGACTTTAATCAACTGCTAATTGAAACTACTGCCTTTGTCGGCAAGTAGGACCCAAAACTGTGTTTGTTACCATTTATAAATCCATTGGTCTCTTTTGATCAAAGCACTTGATCAGAAGTAGTATCTCCCCGTAGTAAAGGTGTTACAGAAGGGTGAGAAGGTTGGAAAGTCTTAATGTTTACATCCTGAATAAAACACATCAATGTGGGCTCTTACTGTAGTGCTTACTCTCTTAATGAAACTTGTTCAGGGAAGTTGCTCTGATTTTAAACCTTTCAGCTAAGATGGACATTTCCATAGATGAATTAATGTAAATTGTTTATGGCTATGTCACCTTTTATTGATCTCTATCAAAATCATGTGTTTCTTGCTATACACCTTGAATTCCTCCCAGGTGAGATAACAACTTTCCATCTTAACAAGTCTGTTAACTTGCACATATCTTTTTTGGTTAGATTTCATTAAAGGAACTCACCTAAGAGACCAAAAGAACATTAACTTTCTGTCTAAGTGAATGTGAAGAACTCAGGAAACTGCCAAGGCTCCTAGTCTCTCAAAAGAAAAAGAATAAAACATAGGCAATCAAATCACAACACTTGTACAGATATATTAAGCTTTATCAAAGAATGTTATGGACATGCTCTTTTCTCTTTGTCCCAGAAGTACTTGGCATGCTATTAATTAGATTTTTCCAACTTCATAAATTTATAGTCATGCTATCTGACTGCTACTTCTAGCAAGTATAAGTCTCATTCCTCCCCTAAACATCCATATATGTGTCTAGATGATGGATTTAGCAAAATAGCATTATATTCTTTTCAGGGCAACTGAAAGTCCACTAATGTACAGAGTATTTTTGATGTGATTTTTTTTTAACTAGGTCTTTGCTTCATGTTTATATTTCATTATCTGTTCTTATTATCTCAACCTTGTAAGACGCTGTTAGTACTGTGTGAGATTGGTGTTGGTTATATGATGCTATAAGGTGTCAAATTTATTGATTCAGGATATTAAAACACATGCATAATTTTTTTTAGGAAGCTAGTCTCATACTTGAACAGTGACTTTAAAAGCTTTTTTGGATGCATGCTGGAGTTTCAAATTTTCTGCCAAGATTGTACTACAAATTGTTTGAATATAAGTGTTTTAATGAGCATATTGAAACTAACATGCATGAAGGGCAATAAGAAGTAAAGACTAGTTAATGCATCAGAGTTCAGTTATCCATGGCTCATCAAAAGCTATTTAGAATTCTAGTCTAGTTACCAAAAATACTTCATTCTCTTTTGAAAAGTGCAAATTTTTGTTCTCAATATTTGTTTAGAGATACATTATGCATGTGCCAAATATGTTTGTTTTGAAAAATACATTTAAGGGAAAATCTGAAAACAGCATGAGACTTGTAACTTTTGAAACTTTATATTGAAAACATGGAATTATAAACTTCTTGCACCATGTTGTTGCATGCACTACTGTATTTTTTCTCTACTGTTATGTCCCAAACTCAATTCACCCATCAGATTGAAGTGTTTGAATTACTAGGCAAGTTACCCCAAACCTTCCACAACTGCTCACAATAAGAAATGGCCAAGGGAATACCTTACCTGTATCTATCTCATGATTCTTAACTCATCACGCTGCAGGAGGAGTGTGGTTTTGTGGTTACTTGTTTATTTACCTTAAACAAACATGGTGTTTTATTCTTGACCTGTGTATCTTTGGTGAAAAGCATGCATTGAAACTCTTACTGAAATGTATGTTCTCAACCCATTGAGTAAATTCAAAATATTTTGTATAGTTATTTTTTTCAAGCAAAAGTTATTTTATGGTGTTACTGAGAGTTACTTCAGAATGAGTTGTAAACCAATTTGAGAAATGCTTCCTCATTCCCTGTGCTGAAGAAGTAGCTGAAAATGATAGGTGGACTCAGAGAATTAATTACTAGACAAACAGACAAAAATATCAAATAAAAAATAAGACAGTAAAACCTATTAAATTTATATTACTCATTTTTTTCATGTTTATAGGCAAGAGCTGAAAAGATTTCATTCTAGTGGTCTATATGAAATAGACAAACTGAAGAAGAAATGCCTTATAAAGTCTTTACTACATTTTTGACCAGTTGAAAATGTGTGAGCTCTGGTTTTAGTTTTTGAAAAGCTCTGAGAGAGAATCTGTTAAAGAGAAATAGTCCTTGTTTCAGCCACAGAGATTGTGACTTGACTTAAAGTCAGTTAGGAAAAATAAATATAGGGAAGCTTACCTTGATAACTCCTGTGCTGTAACTTCATAGAACATCAGTGGTTTGTTTCCAAACCAGCAGCTCTTTATCTGACACATGATGTAGACCCTTACACAATTACATAAACATACACAGGCACATACAGTTTGCGATACAATACATAGAAAGACCTAGCACATAAAAGTCGGTTAGAGCATTAGCTTTGAAACAAAGTATTATTTTTTTTCTCTGCAGAATGAAATACAAAATCCCAGAGATACACAGATGAACAGTTTCCTGGCTGCACAAGAAACAGACCAAGTCATGTCTAAAATGCAACTTGCTGAAATGAAAAATGTTATTGTAAAACATATGTATTTTACTGCAGTAAGTAACAGTTGATGCTTTGTAAGCATTATATATTTTATATTCATACAATTTTATATTTTTATATTGCATGAATTATATTTAAAACCTTTATATTTCATTATAGTATTGACCTAATAAAGTAGATACTTGACATACCTTTAGGCCTTTTAACCTGCAATATTTAATACTCCCATATTTACTACTAGATGTAGTTAAACTTAGTTAAATTAGTTAAAATAAAACCTAGTTAGTTTCATTAGTTAAAAGTTAAAATAAGACTTAGTAAAACTTAAAAGTTAAAATAAAACATTAATTAAAATAAGACTTAGTCACTGCAATTCATTGGCATGGGTGTGTGGAAGACAAGGTGTACTACTTAAAGCCTTGGTGTAATAGATGAAGTAAAAAGTAGCAAATATCATTCAACAAGATATCTTTGAATTGCAGTCTTTCTGTGATTTTCCTGTTGTCTAGCTAACTTATGCTAAGACATTTTTCAAAACAGTCATATTGTAGAGCCAGTGTTTTGTTGACTCACATGAATGTTTTTTATTACAAGTCAAGAGTAGAGCTAGTGCACTCCTTTGGTTTTCTGTTGTCAGAGATCTAATCCTGATAAAATTGCTACATTAGTAGTTAACAGCTCTATTTCAGGTCGAGAAAAAGCAACTGAATACGTTGAGTTAGGATATATTATCTCTGTAAGTTACAGTGATGCAGATGATGGTGTCTAAGTATATTTGTCGGAACTTATTTACATGAAGCACTATAAGTTTTAGTAGTGGAAGAATTAAAAATTTTAAGTCCTCAAAAGGTACACACAATGTTTAAACACAAGATTACCTATAGAAGACCTATGCTAGTTAAATCTATGCACCATCAAATGCTAAATCTTTTATCAGTGACATTTTATCAAGGCCATACCCCCTAGACATTAAAAAAATATATTTGTTCTTAACTTTTCATGTATTTTACATACATGAAAGAGCAAGTGCTCTGATTCAAACTGTTATGTAGCAATGTGCAGATGGACCCTTCAAAGATGGTCTCTCCTAAGGATATTTTAGTAATGTGTTTTAGTAACATTGCAATACTATGCAATAACTAAATATGGCTATAATAGTAATACATTTTTGCACCTATGACCATATTTTTGCATGCAAGAGGAATCCAAAGTTGGCATTTTGCCACAGAAAAACGGAAAACTTTTAGGTTTTTAATGTCTAATCTAGGAACACTGTCCTTACAGAGCAACCACATTACAAACAGACAGTAGCAGGGGAAAATGGGAAGGAAAATTTGGCTATATTTTATTCCTTTTAAGTCATTAGTCCCCTGTTTCATAATTTAACCATGCAAATGAAAAATCTAAATAGACAAATCTAAATGTTAGGTGGTGCTTGAGCTACATTTAACGGAAGTTGTCATTTGGGCAGTTTCATGCACTATTTATTGAATATATTGACTGGTATCCAGTTTGCAGGTTGACTTTATCCTGTTTTACAGACTATTAAGCACAGATTTATGGAAACAGACCAGCTGAACAAATACAATCCAGAGGTAAGCATTATTAAAAAAGAGGGCATGTTATGCAAATGGAATTTTATTATGAAGTTAGACAAGCATACTTCAATTGCAAACTTAGCTATCAAAAAACATTTTTAGATTTTGACTGTCCAAAACTCTGATAAAGTTATTGTTAAGAAGCGTCATTCGATACTGAATGTTGTTTGTCCCTGTGATACTTTTAGTACTGTCCCTGTTATTAGAAACAAACTGTTCAATCCTGCTAGTTAACAGAACCTTACTTATTAATGTTAGGAAATCAAAAAGCAAAGATGTCCTAATGTGATTTAAAGCGCTTTAAGTTACTCAAGCACTGTATTTGTGCAGTAAAATTAAGACAGAGTGTACACAATTTTTAGCACTGCTTTTTCTAGTAGAGACAGATTTTAGCTAGAGGTTATCTCACTGTAAAAAGAAACAGTACTTGTTCTTTCAGCACATGCCTGATACTTCATCATCTGAGTTTCCAGAGTCAGCTGAAGCACAGATTGCAAGTAGAATGTTTTACTTTTTCCAGTCCTGTTTTCATAGTCACTTTGACTTAATTCCTTTTTTGTACTATTCAGTTTCTCTTTTTTATTTCTTTTAAGCTAAATAAATGCCGTAAAACGGGTCAACAATAGATTTTAAGTCTTTGTTATAAACACCTGAAGTAAATTAATATTTTTAAAATTTTGCCTTGTATGTCTAGAATACTAAGAAAAATATATAAACAGTGTTGAAACATTGCCTCTTTAGTACTCAAAAAGCATTTTATACAGAAACATTGCCTCTTTATTACTCAAAAAACATTTTATACAGTGGCCATGAGCTACTAGTATGCATTTTATATGGCAACTTGTGTTACTTAAAAGTTAAAAAGGGAAACACTTAGAGTATGTGTTAGCTTCCGGTATTCCTTGGTAACTGAAGATCTGGTATCTTCATGAGCCATACCACATAAATAGTTACTTGAAATCAGTCTTTTTCTGATTTCTTTCTATTGACAATAAGGGAGGAAGAAGAAAAAATTTATTTTTAAAATGTGAAGAGTAAAATACTTTTGTCATGGTCCAACACCATCACTGATCTGTAAAGTCCTATGTGTGTTTTGGTTCCTGAAGAGATTTGCATTGAAATTTAATCTTACGGTGTAGTTTATTGAATTAATGGGATGAAAAATTACCTTTCTTAGCACATGTATCCTGAAATTGGTTTTTGGTACTCTTTAAGAATAATATCATTTTTTGCTTGGAAATTTTAAGCTTAATTGTAATACTTCTCTTACTGTTCTCTCACTTTTATTGTTTTACGGAATATCCATTGCTAGCCTTCATATAATATGTGTCTTCTATAGTAAGTATATTTATGACTTTTATAAGCAGCTCCAGTAAACATTTCCAATAATACTAATGAAGTAAAATCACACCTACAAACTAAATGAACATATTAGATCTGCCTACTGTATTTTGTAATCTCAGTTTGCATCTGCTAGGAAGGCTTAGCCCAGCTAAGTGTTCTGTTCCATCGTCATCCCAAAAATATTTATTTCTCTTTTGTCACCTTTTCTTCCACATCATGCAATGTAAAAGATGTATTGTGTGGACCTTCATATTTCATTTGTTTCTGCTCAAAGTGCTAATGATTGTACCAGCAGTGCTTCACAAGAAACTGCTGATTCCTCATCAGTCAGAGTGCAAGCCAGTGAAGCTTGGACAGCTTATTGAGTATTAAGTCTCTTCAATAGTAGGTGTCTCCTGATACTGACAAAAATTTATTGCCTCAGTTTTGTATCATCCTTCTCTACCTCTTAGAAATGCGATGAACCAGTCTCTAGTTTCTCTTTGACTTGAATGCTGTGCAATGTTACCACAGTCTTCTCAAAACATCCGTATTTTAGTGTATTTTCAAAATAATGCATCAATGTTACTGTTTCATCTAGTAAAGAATTTTCAAGAAATAAAAGTTTCAGTCACAATATATAAAGCTGGATCCTGGTGCGATCACCAGGTGAAGGTCAGGGTAACATGCCTGTACATGCCTTATATACAATCTAACATCTGAAATCCAGGTGGCAGACAAGTTCTTTGACTGTTATTAAACAGTTTATGATTGCTCTATAGACGTGTTGTTTGCATGTAATTAACATTACAAAAGCATGAATGCAACCATTATTTCCAAAGGAAATTTTAGAGATTTTAATAGTTCATATATGAATGAGAAGATTGAAATAAATGTGAGCTGCAAACATCAGATGCACAAAGACTTGATTAAAAGAAAATTGTCTACTTGAGCAGCTTTATATATTGTTAATGTGACAATGGCTTACATTAGGAGTCTGAGATACAAGACATTTGCAGAGACACTAAATATCTAATGCTAAGGTGGAGTTCATTCACTGAGATTTTAGCTGTGATTTAACCATGACTTTAATTTCTTTCTGAATTTTTTTCATGTTTGAACAGAGCACTTAATGTTTTTTATCTTACTAGAACATTTTTGGATGCTATCCTTTAGACTTCAAATCCACAATTGGACTCAAAATCCCTGTCAATTTAAAGTATAAACTGTAATATAATATTAAAACAATTAGTAAGATATTTAGATTGGATAATAGGAAAATTTCTCCCTGCAAAGGGTTGTCCAGCTCTGGAAGAGGTTTCGCAGGGCACTAATGGAATCATCATCCCTAAAGAGATTTAGAAGATAGGTACAAGTGGCACTTAAGGACATGGTTTAGTGGTGGGGTTGATAGTGCTGTTAATGGTTGGACTCAATGTTCTTATAACAATTCTATCTGAGCTATTCTATTAATGCACACCAAGACACAAGATTTTTGGCAGAGATCATAAAGTTTACAAGTTATCAGAGACTAAAGCAACAATAAGTTTATGTAACTGTTTAATTCCCAGCAGTGCAATCAGTCTGATCCTGCTTCTCTCAGCTGTGGCTCCTTATCCCAGAATTAGGAGAAATTTGAATTTACCAGAGCATCTGGCTGTGTGGTCAAACAAAAAAGCTGTATTTCAAAAGAGTAGTTGCCTGGCAGAAGAAAGCCATGCTTCATTTAGCGTTACTGTTGCAACTAGCTTGTGCATCAGCTTTGGTTTGAATCTGAACTAGAGGAAAGATGTAAATAGCAGTGTACCTGAGACCTTCAATAGCTCATTAGTGTCATTAATTTGTGATCTCTGGACAGCTGAAAGTACAGAGAGTAACAGGGAAATTGCAGAGCAAATACAGCATCTCATGGAAGCTATTGCATCTGTCTGGGTTCTCTGAAAGCTGTAAAGTTAAGAGTTTTGCTGTCATGAGTAGCAGAGAACAAGATGGGAGTCCTGTGCTACTAAGATCTTCTTGACTGGAAGGACCCCTTCTGCTTGAAAATGAGAGTCCCTTTCCCCCTGCCCTGGCAGGGATGTAAGGTGGTATGGAATAACCTCCATGTCTCAGTCACATCCCTCTGGCTACTGCTAAAATAAATTCTGTCCTGTCAGGAACCAGGATATATAATACCAACATTTTAGTTAGGGATTTTCTTGTTCATTAACTTGGTTGGTTAAAGGGTTTTTTTAATTTAAGCTGGTTTGGTTTGTTTGGTTTTTTTTTTAACAATGATATCTCATTTTTAGGTTAAAAGTACTGACTGGTCCAAGGGCACTTGGTCTATACTTCAAGGATTAGTGGAAGAGGACTTACTTCATGATGTAGTCACAGAACTTGCTGCTGGCCAAATGTACAGTGCACCTCCTGTGCAACTTCTTCATCCTCTTCTAGAATATGTCCTATTGGTGAGAGATGAAGATTAAAGTATTATTAAAAATAAAAGCAATAAATGGAAGTATTATGATCTTTGCTTCTGACATAGTATTTAGTTGTTTTTAGTGATCCATTCACCCTTCTTTTTGTGCTCATCAATGTGCCTGTAAAAATAAGAAAATATTTTTAAAAGGGCTTTTTCAAATTAGTATTTATGTGCAAGACAAATGAATGTACTGCTCTAAATATTGTGGAAGGCTTGTCCACAAATATTTTTTGTTATTTTTAGAAACAGTACTATGCTAGTACACTGCAGATAGAGAGATCGATTGAGAACAAGGTTTGCTCTAAACAGTGCTGCATTCAACTGGCATATCACACCAGAGCAGCTCTTTTTCTCCTTTTTTTTTTTTTAACTTTGTATTTTTATGCATGTTACTTCAGTGATTAATTTTGGCCACTTGAGATTATAAAGATTAAATAAAATAAACTCTTAGTGATTACAGATATAGATCTTTGGCTGATTTGGAGGTAATATTATTTTCTCATTTTTTACAGGGAAACACCGATACAGTATTTTTTGCCAAACTTTGTCATATTTTTTATGCTGTTCTTCATTATGAACCTCCCTGGAAGTCCCCTTCGATGTTGAAGTATTATTTGGATTTTCTTCAGTGTCCTATCTGTAAGAAAGGCACATGGTCCTTGATAGAGATGCTTGTAAGGTAAGAAAGATTAATGAGGTACCAAATGCAATCGTTATGTTACTCCAAACTCAGAGACAGCAGAGGAGAGTTGGCATTCTATTGCAACAAAGTGCTGTTTTCAACAGAACAAGTTACCAGTATGTGAAAGTCTAGAATTGGAAAAGATTTGGACACTTCACTCTATGTTTCAAAAAGTGTTAGCTCGCAGGCAGATGAAATTTTTTGCAAGAAAAATAAGTACATTTTCTTAGCCTTAATAATTTTTAAAATTATTTTATTTCTGACACTCTTTACAGAGTATAATAATCTGGGTAGTCCTGCTGTTGTTGTGTGTATGCATATAAACACACACACACACACATGCATATATCTGCAGTTATAAAGCAAATTCAAGGCTTGTCTTGCCAAACATGAAGTTTCATGTTGTATTTAGATTTTAAACATAAACTTCTTTTTGAAGAAGTCTGATTATATCTTACCTATATCTACAAAGACAAGACAGTATTTAGGAGCTGCTTGGATAGTTAGTCTCTGCTTTATCTTGAGAACTTATTTTTTGTAATTTGCATCAACAGAAATTAATTCTTCATTTGGAAAAGAAACTACACCTCTTCTTGTAGCTGTGATAAAGCCTCAAGTAATATTTAAATACTTTAATACTATTATGTTTACAGATACATGAATGTGTGTGATTGTAAGCATGTCTTGAAGTACATGAAAGACAATTTGGCTTTTAGATGAAGTATTTTATCTTTCACTACTTCCTGGAGAATGGGAATACCCAGAAGTTATATACCTGGTTCTAGTATTCAAAATTCTAGGCAAAAAGTGTGTTTGCATGTTACGTCAGAATTGACAGTCTGTAGTCCTGTCAATTAGTATGTATGAACTGTTATCTGAATAGAGGTTTGTAGGATGTTACCATGTCTGCAAAATACTGCAAAATTATCTTGTGTTTAAAGGATTTTAAAGAAGTTCTGTTTAATATAGTAATTGTACAATATCTCAAGTAGAGACAGAGAAAGGAAACCCAGTTAAATTACTTAGTTTACACTATAATACAAAATCTTCATCTGGAAAACTAAAGCTCAGTCACAAACATGTTAATTTTTTTTTCTTTTGAAAAAAAGCTTTAAACCTGAAAATTAGGCTTTAAAATGTTGACTGTTGCTGAGGAGCAAACTATTTCTTTGTCAAAAGAGATCAGCTTCATTATTGGCTTTTTTGCCAATCAAATATCTGTTGTTTCTGTCATACAAATGGAATTTTTCATTTTTTATTTTTCAGGTCTTGCCTTTATTGTGAAACAGTTTGTCATATGGTCACACTTTCAGGGACAGAAGATGAACTGAGGATAGTTCATAAAACATTATTGAAATTTTTCTCTGATTTAGTAAAAGGCGAAGTAGAGTTCCTGACAAAAAGGTGGGATTTATAGAATTTCTTTATTTACAGCAGCTTGTATCCTGATTTGTGTATATCCCTTATAAGATACTGCTCTAGAAAACAGTTTAGCAATTCCATTTATATTTTTTTTAATTTTTAGATTGTTTATTGTAAATTTATAGGTTTCTTATAATGATGGTTTTTTGCTTTTTCCAGCTTGTTATTCCAGTTCAGATTTAATTTTGCTCATAAAGTTGTACTTTTAGATTTGCAGTACTTCACTGTTCATTCTTTAAGGTAGACAAGCAGCATTTTGAATATACTGATGTATGTGTTTGATTTTTTTTTAATTCAAATAACTGTTATCTCCTTATTGCCTTAGAGAGACAATTACCTTTCCTTGGTTTATGAAGTATAAAAGAAGTCTATGTTTTTCTTCACCTTTACATAGAAATGATGGCCTTTATTTTTTGTAAATAGTGGCACAGTATTAGAATTCCCTAGGTCTAACAGTAATAGTCATCATAATTGTATTTATTCTGCATCAGAAATTGTGTCTGATCTTTCCATAGGCAAAAATCGCCAAATCTGTGTGTATTTTGAATGAAGACAAGGTTTCTGTCTGGTTACTGTAATAATCAAAGTGGTATAAAGCTTTAGGTTTTTTCCCTTTTTTTTTTTTTTTCAGTTTGGTTGAAGGAACAAATTCACAGCATCAACAAGTCCTGCCACAGACAGTTCTTCTGAAGACATTCTTGCTTGAAAGTGGAACCGCAGTGCTTTTTACCAAACACATAAATATTCTAGCAGATTGGGTCATATTTTCCCATAGAGAATTAAATGGAAAAAATTATGTGAGTGTGAATTTTATACTTTAAAATAATTAAGATGAACATATTTTTTTAAAGGTGTCCCTTTGTTCATTCTTTTGTGAGGAATTATATATAACAGCTGCTTGTTATAGAGGCCTTTTATTGTGAAGCGTGCTGGTTTTTGCTCCACTAAAGAAATGAATTGATCCATAAGATACTTATATAGATATGTAGAGAAGAAACGAGTCATGAGTAGCTTGTTGGCTACATTCAGATGTTCACATGCCCTTACCAGCAGGTATTACTGTAGTTATTACAGACACCAGCTTGTTCTCTCAAACAATATGGTGTAGTGAAAGAAGTGATTATCTTATTTTACAGTGACAGGATTCCGGAAACATTTGAAAGAGAAACCTAACAAAACTAATACTGTTTTTTGTTGTTTGCTAGATATGCATTATTTTACTGTAATAAAATGCCCTGGTTTTCTTCTTAAGTCTTTTAGTTTCATTTGGAATATTTCCTAGGACTTAGCATTAAAATGGAATTGAAGGCAACTTAATTGCTATTCTGTGACCTGCTGACCAGCAGGACATTGACCTGAAAGATACTAAGTGTCCTCTATACCACCTCTTTCTTTTCAGAAGCAAGAGGCCTTGTAAAACATCTTTGACTTCTAGATTCTCACTTAAAATAAAACCTAACTGCTGTCTCTGCATTCTCTTTTAAATTATTGTGAGAGCACAGAATAAATAGGTATTCCATTCACTTTTTCCGTACAGTAACAGAACAATAGAAAATCAAGTATTTCAGGGAGAAAAAAGCACTTTCAATATAATACCAAGTAGTTATTCATTATGCTATGAAAGCAAAAAGATTAAACATAATGAGAGCTTCAATCATCTTACCTAGCCAGACCTCCTACCTTTTTTGAGGGCTGTCAAAGCAAGACATTGTGAAACAGTGCTGCTTTTTATCCTCGGTCAAGATATTTAAGAAATGCCTAAAATTAGGCTTCTATACCCATATTTATATTTAAGCAACCTATCTTTTCAAAGGTGCTGAGCAGCAAGCAGGCTTACATGCAGTTAGTGTCAGTAGCCATTCTGTTTCTTCGGAAAATGACACTGCTTTCATATTTTTCCTGGTGTTGAATCTGCAGTTTAAGTGTAGGTACCATTTAGTTTTTTCTGCTATGCCTTCCTTCGGCAGGTTCCAGCACTGTAAGCCATGCCTTTCTGATAAACCTTTCTTTGCACTGGCAGAATAATCACTTTTATCAGACTGTATTACATATATGAAAAATAAGCTTTTCCCCCATACACAACATAAACCACGGAGATCTGCCTCTTGTTTAGGTTCTATTTGCTTTATGTACATATATCTCAGAATTGTCGTTTCAGCACAAATCTTGGATGTCTGTTGCTTTCTCACTTTGATCTTACACACTATAATATAAACTATCCTACACAGATTGATTCTAGCCTTAAAAAGCAGCCTGTTGCCTCATAATATCTGTAGTGTATTACATTTTTTTCTAACAGCTTTGTTCCTCATATTTATTTATCTATTGCACTTTCTTTGCCATTGCATTTTTGGCAAAAATAAATTCGAAAACAAAATTCCATATTTTTACAATCCAACTCATTTGTCCCTTCATTCACTCTCAATCTTGTTTTACTAAAGCTTGATATTTTTCTGTATTTTCAGACTAATTTTAAAATTCCATTACACAGTTTAAAATGTCATTCAGAAAATCAAAAGAGCGAAACCTCCCTATCTGTGCAGACAGAACTTTTCTCCTTCCTTTTTCTATAATTTCAGAGATACTGTGTATTTATTTATGTATTTTCATGTCATTAGAGGTAGCATACAGGGTGCAAAATTGTCCTTCCTGTCTTCAATTTGAGGTGTGAGTCATTGTTACCAGTTTTGTTTTATAAAAGCTGTTTGCTTAAGACGTAACACGTCACAAGAAGTGTGTAGGGCCGTTCAGAAACCTAAATGAAAGGAATGGTTTTGGATACTGTTTCTCTCTGCATGTGGCTTGTAGCACATTGCAAAGGAGTGACCAACCATATTTCTCAGTGCACCTAAGTGTGTTAGCTTGTGGGAAGAAACAAACATGCATCTTGTGATATGCCAAACTTTTGTACAGTTCTTCAGCAAAAATATCTATAAGTGGAAACAGATTAATAATTTAACAAAATTCTGTATTTGAACATATCTAATATAATATTTTATAACTGGTAAAAGTGAGAGTTATTAATTTTTTTAGCTTTTTAGAATGAGATTCTTTTTTTTTATGATTCAAAGAGGTTGCAACAAAGAGCGCTAGAGTGCACGGACAATGTCTGTGTATGTTTCCTCTCTCCTCCTGCTGAGTTGCTGCAAAATTATGTTTTAAGTATATGTGTAAACATACCATGTAAAAAGAGCAGTCCAAAAAAAAGCAAAAAACAAAGCATGAAGTTGAGTGCATTTGTTTTCTGGAGTTAGATAGAATTTGCTGTATTTTAGAAGTAGCAGAATAAAAATAGTAACAGGAAATTGGACATCCTCACTGATCACTGGGTTAACCTGTTCGAACCACATGGGGGAATAATATTGATACACTATTCTTGTAGTTAAAAGGCAATGCCAAAGAACATTAAAGATTTCCTATTATTTGAGCTCTTCAAACGAATTTTGAATATAATTCTAAAATAAATTAACATATATTCTTTGTTATATTATTTAAACAGGTTTGATGGAGGAACTCCTGGTCAAAGTTCCTTTAATCAAATTTCTTAATTCAGTTTTAGAATTTACCAGGGAATGTGTATGTTGCTTATAACACTTCTAGTTGCATTGAGCTATTGCATGGCTTTTCACAATGTCACAGATGGTATCTTTCATCCCTGAAAATACTGGTGGGGATTTTTTAAAAAAAGCTGTCTTACATAGCCTGATAAAGAGGTGATAAAGGCATTCATTCAGGTTTTTGGTTTCATAGTATAAATTTGTGTGGTGTAGAACCAAATGTCTTTCTGGTCTGTCACTTGCAGTCATTTTTTTGGAAGTATATTTGTAGGCATTTGTGGAGTACTGCATTTACAGCTCATGAAAAAAACCCTTTTCTTTAGAGTTCTAAAATAACTCAGTAATTCAAAGCAAAAAACTTAAAATTAATTTTTCTATAAAAACTTTTATGTGTAAAAACACACTGTGAAACTTCTGCCACTGTAGCACTATATTTGACTTGACAAAGCATTAAATGGAACAGCAATGTAGGAATTGCATTTGCTAACCTAACAGATATCAGTTGAAGTGATGTGACCTTTGTATGCTAACACAGTCAATAGCTTCTTCCCACTTCTGTGCTTTTCTTAGTGAGATAGCTTTGAATTTCAACAATAAGAGCAAGGAAGAGAATTTTGAAAAGAGGTTTCACTGCATGTTACTTAATTAGCTGTACATGGTGTAGTGGGTCAATCTCAGCTGGCAGATAAGTCCCCACCCTGCATTGGGTTGAGGGAGAGAATCAGAAGGACAAATTAAAAAATGTATGACATTATATACAGAGAATTTAATAAGTGAAACAAATACTTACCCACAAGCAAAGCAAAATAAGGATTCCGTTCAGTGCATCCCATCAGCAGGCAGATGTTCAGTCACTTCCTGGAAAGCAGGGCTTCATAAGGCATGGCATTTACTAGGCAAGGCAAACACCATCACTTCAAACATTCTCCCTTCCTCCTTTACCCAGCTTTTACTGCTGAGCACAATGTTCAGAAGGTCTTTGGTCATTTAGGGTCATCTGTCTTGGCTGATGCCCCTCCCAGCTTCTTGTTGTAGAAGCAGAGTGGGGAAAAAGAGGTCTTGGCACTGTCATGCATGGTAACAAATTCCAAGTTTAATGGAAATGCTTGGGGTTTTTTTTTTTCCTTTTTAATACTGCATATGTTTTCACTACCGTCTATTGTTTTGTGGTTGAAATTAAAAATACTTTTAACATGTTAACATTTAAACATTTTTACTACATATGGTTCTTTCAGGAAATTAGATTAATTTCCCTCTCTCTCATTTGTAGCATTGAACTGTTTATTTAAAATATTGAGGAAAAGTTCTTGGTTTGTCCTACTGTTCTTTTACAAAAATGCCAACCAAGCCTACACTAGTTGGCAGTATCTGGTTTGTCTTGTCAGCATGCAGAGATACTTGGCTGGGCAAATATAGAAGCAGCTAGAGTACCAGCTGCATTTAATATTCACTATATATCTGACTGTGAAAAATTACTAATACTTGCAGTATTAACAGTCATTATTTCAGTCTGCTCCCTCAATGTCTGCATTCACCCCCACCCTTTTTCTTAAAAGTATTTCAAAAAGGAATTAGTTAAGGTAGTGATTTAGAAACCATAAAGAGAGTGTAAATACTTGTGCTTTACATCTCTATCTATCTCAGATTACACTTATATGTCCTTGATCCTGTCGCTTAACTTTTGTTAAAATTGTGCTTATTTGCTGTGTTTGTGAAATTTATTTCCAGTAAAGAACTGTTGGTGGAATTATATTATTCAACCAGTAATTTGCTTTGGGGTCCAGTGATAAGAGGTATACATACTTAAGGGAAATTTAAATGCATTTCAGATATTTTAAATTGTTCTTCAGCTTCTTTTCTTGAATCCTCAGAAGATAGTGTAAATGTACCTTTTTAAATATTTAAACTTTAGTTTAAAAATTATACTTTTAGGTTTTTGACATGCCATATCTGTGTTCTCTGGTTTTTTTTAATTATGAGATTTCACAGTTCATCCATAATTAAGTATTATTACATAGTAAAGGAAGGAGCAAACCAAATCAAGTAGTGTTTAAGAAAGTAAGAGGAAGTAGGCCTGGAAGCAATCTTGGAGATGACATTCGTAACAGATTTTGTCTGGCCAGTTCTTAAAAATCTTGAGTGATGTTGATTATGCTTCCACCACACACCATGTTTATTTGTAGTTGTATTTATTCCTTTTCTTTTGAGTGATGAGTAACTTAACTGTAGTGACAGTATTTGTGTAGTTTTCAACAAATTGCTTTATAATTTTTTAATTATCATCTATGTCACCATCTCCGTTGTTCATATGCACATCTGTTTGGTGCTCAAACTGGTTTTGATGCTTTTCAGCTCCTAAGGAATCCTAGTAAATTATTTTAAACCAACCTTGAACATATTTTGTTCTCAAAGGAGTATCAGACAAGTCATTGACTGTAGTGTGTACCCATTGAGTCTGGTTTGTCTCTTACCCAAAATTGTCCAGTTTCAAATACTCATTATTTCTCACAAGGTGCAATATATCAATTTGTGCTCTAGTGTAACAGTAGTAATTCTCTATAGAGCCCTAGGTCAGATTAATTTCATGTGTTCCTGCTACGGTGCCTGTGCTCTTCTCCAAGCGGTGCTTTCAAAACATGTGGTCAGACGAATGACGTATTTCAGAGTAATTTTATAAAGTATTTCTACTGTGGCTCAGGAGGGTATGTAGATAGATGTGACCTTGCAAAGACTAGCTCAAACATTAGGAATACTGCTTTACCTAACCAGTATTGATTGAGTTCTCACATGGGTGAATAAATGCATTCATCAATCTAATGATTTATTATCAATAACTCATTCATTTATAAATGCATTCTCATGGTGGCATCTGGATAGCTAAATTCCTGTGTATTGTCTTGATGCCTCTTGAAGAAAATACACCAGCTTTCTTTACTTGTTCATTACCATTTTCACAGGATCACTGAATAAGCTGAGTTAGAAGGGACCCATAAGGATACGTATATATAGATATATTCTCTCTTGTTCTCAATCTCTCTCTCTTTTTTTTTCTTTTTTTTTTTTTTTTTTTTTTTTGTGTGACTGTTCAAAATAGAATATTGTAGGGCTAATATTCAGAAGGATGGCTTTTTTCCTACCTTTTGCAAAGTAACTGACAAAGTTTCTTCTGTGCATTTTTCCTTTTGGCACAGACATACATAGTCACAAAAAGAGCTTTATTTCATTATGAAATCTTCTGAAAAAGGCAATGCTAATAGAGCAGGGAGAAAAAGATCCCTACAACAATTGTCAAATAAAACACAAGATTAACTGGGATAAGTGCAGTACTTGCAATCTTATGGTTAAACAAAACCTAATTTAAAAATAAATCACATTGCAATTATACGTTTTGACAACATTTTGCATATAGTTTTAGGTGATGTTTTCATAGAACCTGATTTTCTCCATTACCAAATCTTAATTGATATGGCATCAGTGACACTAATTTTGGTGATCTGGCTGCAATAGTTAGCTTTTGAGCAGAAGAAAGGCCAATGAAGGAGTAACGTGGCAGCAGAGTGAGCTTTTATCTGATGTTTTCTATGTTATTTCTAGTACACTATCTGTGAATTTCTTATATATTACAGATCAATAGATGCACCTATGCTTTTTTCCATTTAGGCTTTCAGAAGTGAAGTTGCTGGTCTATTAAATGCAATTCTTGGAACTGTAGTGGACTATTGGATTGTCTCAGGTTTGCTTATGGACAGGAATGTGTTTCATCAAGTGCCTGATTTGGCGCATTACGTTGCCATTTCATGTGATGGTAAGTGTTTGCAATGCCTCTCAAAAGTCTTCTAATCAGATACACTAAGTCCTAATTAAAATCCTTGGTTTATAGTTTCAAATTGTTTTTAACCCTTGTTGCAGCTGTGCACTGCATGGTGTGTACATACCCAGGAAACCATTTTATTCTGTATGTGTCTGTCGGTGTCAAGCAAAGATCAAATAGAATGGGTTTTCTTGTTAAAATCCCTCTAAATAAATGTCTAAATGTTGATGTGAAAGCAAGACCACACAGTCTGAGGAAGGAAAAAATCTTTTGAGCTCTCTTGTCTGTTTAGGAGAAGCTTTAAGCATATCATAATAAAACTTAAATTCAGGCAAGCAATCGGAGGCACCTTACTCAACTCAGACAAATTTTATCACTCCAGAAAATCAACAGATAGCTAAAGACACTTCAGTTGTAAGTCTAAAACCTACACTGAACTGTGTGACTCCTACAACTTCAAATGAAATATTTCAATGTCTCCCTCCAAATCCTTGGACTTAATGAAGGGAATGGGAGAAAATTCCATTGAGTCCCATTAATTATTGGAGTTCCTCCTCATTAAATCGACTAGGTAAACAGAAACATCATAACTCAAATAACCATTATCATTAAACATGGAATGTCAGTTGAAGTATCTGTACTTTTAGCAGCAAGGAGTTGAGGATCTTGGAAGAAAAAATTATCTCAAGAAAGTATTATTTTAATTTATTTTCAAAATTAATTCCCACCAAAGCTTCCCCTGACTCCTTTTCCAATCATCATTTTCTGTGGTACATCTGAATGGGGTTGCAGTTTGCTTATGGTGACTTTCAATGTAGAACTTGTAGGTCATCTGCATTATTTGTGGATTTCTTGTTCGTGTGTTATAACTGTTATGTGAACTTGTGTCTCGTCGAGATTTAGAATGTGATCACTTGCAGAACTTCACAAAAAAAAATCTATTCTAAAAATAAAGGCATAATTTTTATAATATTATATTAAGAGCATTTTAAAAAGTTTCACACAAAAAGTGATGCTTTGTCTTCTAAAATGTGTTTAACATTCTCTCAGTATCTCGATATCTTACCAGATGATGGTTAAAATCTATTTTAATGGAAAGAATATTACTACTTCTTATGGAGAATAAGCTGCTGAATCTGCAATAGGAGCAAAAAGCCTGGAAGATCTATCTTCTCGATAACTACGTATGCAGATTTCTGTATTTTCATTTTAGGCTTACTTTATTTTTTTCCAATTGCTTTTATCCAGATTTTTCTGTATGTCAATTAAAAATGTTTATTTGTGCCATACCATCCGACTGGCTTCAACTGTTTGTTGCAGAAGCAATTTTCAAACAAATGTGTTTACAGAGGACTATTGCTGTTTCTACAGAACCTCTTTCTCTTCAGAAAATAGTAAGTAACTCCTTAAAAACTTATCACACTTCAGTATTTTACAAGTATTTTACAATTTGATTCATTAAAGTCTTGAAATATATCTTCTCTTTGTGGTCTAAGTTCATGCTTGTTGCCTGCATTGTCTTTCCATGTGTTCCATACATTTGAATTTCTCTTTGCCTGAGATCTGGATCCAGAACAATAGTAAGGTTTTTCTTGACAGAGAATTTGTCAACCTGATATCTGTGTACATGCAGTTATCATGAAAGTGAAAAAATGCAACAGTGGAAGCTTTTAAAAATAATCCCTGATATAATGATTGCAGCGTTCCATTTGTACTTAAGTAGAATGCCAGATATAGTGTGATTTTTCTCAGCTACCTTTTCCTTCAGCATTTTTGAAGGGATAGGTCCAGGCATATGTTACATAGAAGATTTTATGATTTTGAACCACAGTGTATTCCTGTGAATTTCTCCTCTTAGAAAGTTTCTCCTACTCACAAACCGTTGCCTGCTTTCAAATCACAATTAGTGATAGTTGTTGAGGAAAAACAGAAAAAAAGAAATTCTCAAAGAATCTTTTGAGAATTTCTGCAAAAGAAGTTCTCAAAGCCATGACCGCTGGCAGAATGCAGGCAAATCAGGGCAATCACACAGTAATGTCATGCCCTAATTTAGAGTCTCATTTCAGTAATTTTAATACTAATGACTAAACAGAATAGGGAATCCATAGCTGTTTGTCTGTGTTCTACTATTCTACAGAGAGAGTCACAAAAAATCAAATTTATACCTTTGTACATTTCCCATACATAAGTTTTCATAAATTCTGCAGGAATTTATTTTGAAGAGAGGTCATTGTTTGTTAATACAGCACGTTTAAACAGAGGTTGAACAAAAGACTATCAGAATTCATAACATAAGCCAACTGCATACTAATACTTGATGTATATTGCCACATATAGAGCAGAATTGCTACTTTCAGTATCAACATGACTACTGATCACTCTCTGCAACTACTTAAAAATTGTTATAGTGCTTGAAACAAGTCTATGTGCTTTTGTTGTTTTCCTTAGTATGACTCAGTCTTCTTTCTCATTCCATACAGTTAAAAATTTCCAGTTTTGCCAGTTCTTCTTAGACAGCATTTTATCAGCTTGGCTTTTCTCTGAGTTCAACAACTCCTTGGTGGTAAATGTGCAGTGAAGGTGCAAGTAAGGTGTTCCCCACCTACTGCACATTGCTCGCAAGATCTACAGTGAACTGCTAAATACTCAAAGCCTTCCTTAATACCTTTCTTCCAATATAATTGTTGTGTGTTTGATGAATCCTCCTCACTGGCCTTTTTTCTTATGCTTTTGCCAAACTGCAGATACTTAGATGACTTTTTTAAATGACCAGTGTAAGTGGGTTTGAAGCTCTGTGTTACTGCAAAGAAGCTACCATCTACAACAGCCAAGGCTGTCCTAATAGAGAGCACCTAAGGGATAACTGGCTTACTGCCTTTGTGATGCTCAAAGACTTAATCCAACCCCTCATCTCAGAAGAGATGAAGGAGTGGAATGAGTCTGTCTTTAATCAAATTGCTCCTTGGTTTGGGAGCAGAAAGTCTGTAAATACTTTGTTTTAATATATGAAAGTCAGTTAACTGTACTCAAGTCTTAGTCTGGCTAAAGAGATCCAGATTTTCTCAACTGCCAGAAATCTGAGGGAGGCCTAGAATTTCCCATTTTCTGTCTTAGACACCAGCCACTCACTGAGGCCAATGTAGAGTGAGTTACAAAAACATTGAATAGGAATGCAAAAGACAAACTGAAACAATCTAGATGTACAGTCATTCAGAGATCAAGAATGTAGATGGATACATGTGGATATAGATGACTGCTTTGCAGCAAGTGTAACAAAAGAAAATTTTTTCATTTATAAAACGTTACTTTTGCAACAGGTTTGTTCCTATTCACCTGCTTTGCGAGAGATAGGGATGCGTGAGACAGAGATACACAAAGCAAAGAAAAAGAAAATAGGGCAACAGCCATGCCCTGAGTCTCAAAGGACATTACAGATGCTAAATGGCGATAAGCAGAACCAAGTCAAAGTGCTGCCTGATCTACCGTAAGTAATACCTATAACATCACCAGTTTCATTCTGCTTTGGGGGACAGCTTCTGACCTGACACATTTCTTGAACTTTATGTGACCTGTTTTGTTGTCTACAAATTGCTTTAACTGACAGAAAGCTCCATTGTAAGCCTGTAACACCTCTGGGCTGGGATTTCCCCTTTTCTCTTTGATCATCAATTTCAGTGTTTATGCAGACTGATGTAGTTTTATTTGTCTAATATTAAATTTATAGGGTATATACTAAGTTCACTGTTCATAGAATAACCTTTAAAGACACTTTAAAAGTGGGCAATCCTATTTGATTTCTGTTTTAAATACAGTCATAATTAAATGTCATAGAAATTATGTAATTAAGACATTTGCCAAAATGATGCTGCAATGGATAAATCTAAATATCCTGTATATACACATTTAAAACCATTAAGAACATATACATTAATTAGGAAATAGTAATTTAAAATGTGTCCCCTTTGCTTTCTTTTCAGTGACTTAATCTTTAAAAAGCTTAGAGCAAAAGCAGAAGTCCAGACTGCACACACCAAAGAGAGTTATTTTTTTGCTGAAGAGGTACACAAGAGAAATATTAAAGGTATTCTACTTATCTAATTTATGTTAAGAAGTTTAAAATGGTTAGAATTTATAGTTTTGTGTTTAAAAAACTTGTCCTGATGAATGCTGGACTAAAACGATGGCTTATGCCCAAGAATTATTTTCTTATGGTCCACGTTTCTCTTTTGCAATGTCTATTTAAAAGGAGGAATTTGTATATATGGAAAATAAAGTTGCCTTCTTCATTACCCTCCTCCTTCCATACATTAAATACAGCGCACAATTTGTGTGAGCTCATTCCAGTCTTACCTGCCTTACTTTGCTAATCCACCTCAACCTGTGCTTGGTTAGGATCAATGTCTTCTGATTTGCAAGTATAAGTCTGTCTTCATCTCACTGAGTCCTAGACATTTTGTGAATAAAGACTGACGAGTATGCTATGTTACATAGCTGTTTTAAGCATATGGACTGTTTTCTTCCAGACATTCATCCCAGACTATTAAATGTACTTGGCTTTTGTTTTAACTATTCTGGAACTCATGTACCTGAGGAATAAAACAGCACTGCAGTAATTCATTCAGTTCCTATCTACTACACAAGTTTAATAACTGTATTTTGCATGAGGCTTCCTTTACTACAGAATTGCTTGCTGGAACTACTTTTTCATCTTCATCGTCAGAAATTTACCTACAACTCTATTAATATGACACCCAGGAGAAGGCTCAGGAAAAAAATGGCAAAAGCAAGCTGGAATTGTTCAAAAAATTAAAAACAGAATTGTATCACAAACAAAAGAAGACCTCACCCCCTATAAAGGTTTAAAAGAACTTCAGCAACAGAGTCAGACCATACATTTTTAAAATTTGTTCCCTTTGTTTTTATTGCTTTTGCAAGTAAACAATTGAATTATTACATCTGATTTCTACAAAGAAAAGTGAGCTGAAGGACTTGGAGGAGAGGGGGAGGGAAGTGGAACCAAACAAACCAATCCTGCTTTTATTTCTATTCTCCCCTGCTAAAATTATAAGTAGTGTCTTCTGTTGAAAGAATGGGCACAGAGTTGATAGATTTATATAGTAAAGGTATTAATATAACAAAATATTCAATGTAAATCTTACTATAAAAGCTAAGAGATCTAGCCTAAGATATCCTTAATTTCTAAAATGTTTGGTTCATCATCTTTCACCTGGTATCAGGATTTTCCTCTGGCTCTTGTTCAAAGCTAATCAATTATTGAAAAGAAAACAGCATTTAGAATGTGTCTGAAGTTTTACACAGAAGCTAGTGGTGTCTATACATATATAAGCAGCAGCTCTCAGTTGTTTGCTGTTTAATTTTTCAGACTTATTTAAGCTGTACATGGTATTACAGTGGATTTTTTTCCCCAGGGTCTACTACTAATAATAATTTTATTATTATTATTAATTTCCCTTTTTCTCCCCTCCTTCTGTACTGTAGCCAAGTGAGAGAGCCTATTGAGAAACAACAAACCATCTACTAATAAATATGAAGTTTTGATTTTTACTTGAGTGTGTAGAGGCACTTGTGCTTAGCCAGAAACATTCATTTGAATTAAGCTATAAACACTGTGTAAAAAGAACCATACATCTTAATGTAGGTTCATGAATAAATTTAAGGGAGGGCAACTGCATTCTAAAGTTTTATTGCATCAAAACCCAGTATTTTTTGGTGTTTTGTGATCACTTGATGCTTTTATAGTGTGATTGAAGCTTTAAACCTTGAACTAGAGGGGAGATAATTCCTGCGTTAAACCATTTGCAGTACAATTTCATTGCTGGATCTCTGGTGGAACAGAAGCTCCGTGGGGTTTTTTTTCTTTTAAGATGTTTAAAAAGGATAAAGGAAAATCGTACTCATTATTGAGCTTTCTGGTACATAACCAGGTCTCCTAGTTCCAGACCCTTTGATTATTTTCTTTAGTTGCTATCTTGTCTAGTCTAGTGTAATCTATTAATTTTTCATGGTAGGAGAGACAGCCCTGCATAAAGCTTGCAGAAATAACAAAGTGGGGAGATTGATTCAGCTTCTCTCTGTGCCGGGAACAGATGTTAATGTCAAAGGTAAGTTATTAATTTTCTCTACAGAACTAAGAAATTAAGACACATAAAGAACTATATTAGTATCTGTTTGGTAACAAGTTTGTATTTATACAGTCTGAAACTCTTTCTTTTTTAAATAACAAAGTGAGGACTTTACAGCAAACATTAATGTAAGATGAATTTATAACTGAAATGTATTTTAACATCACATTTTCTATTGATTTTTAAAAATGCTCTACTTTTTCAGATGCTTTTCAATAGAATTTCTTCTTCTGAAATCACAAGCTGCCATTCCAGCTGTAAGAGTACTAAAAAACTAAAGTGTTTTCCTGTCTAATGAATGACATTAACATTTCAGTACTACTTCTGCTGTTTTAAAACTTCCCTTGATTTATAATTCAGATTATGCTGGCTGGACGCCTTTGCATGAAGCCTGTAACCATGGTAGCACAGTGTGTGTCCGTGAAATTCTGGAGCGTTGTCCAGAGGTAGACCTGCTCAGTCAAGTGGATGGGGTGACTCCTTTGCATGATGCACTGTCAAATGGACATGTAGAAATTGGCAAGCTGCTACTTCAGCATGGGGGTGAGTGCATTTATGCTAAACTAATTTAGGGAAATTATCCTCTGTTCTGAATCCATATGAAGTTCTCAGTGTTTTTCTTGATAGTTTCCTAAAAAGTTATTATGAAATATTTTAACATTTTTAAGCCAAGCTGGTTTGTTTACAGTAAAAATAGTACTGTTTTCACACTTACCTTGATCAGCTGAATATGAAATTAACCAGGATTTCCACATGTTTTTCTAATACAGTAATGTTTTTATCCTGCATTTTACACCATATGTATTGCAACTATATTCTCCACTAATGAAAAGAAAGATTACCTAGTCACCAATCAAGGCTAAGTATTTTCTATTGTTTTGATCTATTTTTACCACAACACAAAAGCAGATTGGTTAAATATCTACATATTCATGTATTTCAACACAAATTTATTCAGCATTTGTGGAAATTGATGTGATGGTCTCGGAACACAATTAGGTTAGTAATTAGTTTAAGAAAGTAATTATATTGTACTCATAACTTCTGTTTAGGGGTAATAGTTGGAGGGATGCCTTAATTTCTAAAAAAAGGACTTTGCTTCTTGGGCAAGCACACAATGTTTTAAACAATACTTTTTGTTCAGAGACAGGGTATTTGTATCTTGAAGTATGTACTGTACCAATGTATTTAATTTAGCATGTTTAAAAAAAACCCCAAATATCCACAAAGAATCATCTTGGATAACAACTCTTCCTTATTTTAATTGATTTACTAAAATGAGTGTTTGCAATATCTGTACCATTGTCCAGTGTGTAAACTCTGTCAGTGTAAACTGTGCTTTATGTGCCGAACCCAGAGTTTTTCAGTAAAAATCATTCTGTGCTTAGTCATGAGGCAGAAGAGTGTATTTAGGCAGCCTATTAATTAAGGTAGAGAAACTAAATTTTAATGGATTCTTGGCATATGACCCTCTGTATTTAGTCTTCTCCTGCCCCCTAAAGGCTGTGTCTCTGTCTGTTGTGCAATCACCAGATGATAATCAATACATTCCTTCTGCAGTTCTACCTCTGTTTACTGAGTCTTAGTTCTGTAGCCCCCAGGTGTTTTATACCTCTACTGTGCCATGTCACCTTGGCATCTAACATGCAAACCAATACCTGGGCTCAGTTCTATCAGTTGAAGTGATGCAACAGCCAATATTATAGTAAGCCCAGCTCCTCAACTGGAAATGGCACTGCACTAACAGATGTGCATTTTTCCTAGGCTGTTGTGAAGAATAGGTACTGGATGATCGTGTTATCACAGGGGAAGAGCTCTATTTGCACTTGCATTCATCAAGGTTTTCTGGCAACTGTGAGGCTGTGTGTACCTTTATCTTTGCCTTTGTCACACTCTGAGTTATGGCCTGTCAGGTAACTGACAGGCCCATGGTAGAAAGCATGTTACCTATTCAGTGTGAACTTACTTAGCTCAATAATTTAGAACACAGAAGTTAATGATACTAAATAATCAGTAATAGTAATAATGATACAGCTTTAATCTGAGCAAAATTAAAATATCTATTGCTGATATTAAATGTGAGAGTTCACCTTTTGTCATTAAAATATATTTCTGAAGAAGTGTTCATGTTAATACGGTATCATTACTTTAGCACAGTAATACAAATTTATGTAAGAAGATTCCTGATGTGTTCATATTTGAAAAACACTTGTAGTGGCTAATAGCTTTCATTTTTTCTTACTGATGCAGCCTTTCTTAAGCTTCCCAAGACATATGTAAGCTCTTTAAATATTAATAGGTCCCTTGTACTAATAAACAGGAAATACCAAAAGGATTTATTTGTTCAGACTAGTTCTGAACAAATAAGTATGTTCCATTTACTTACTTTAAATCTATTTATTAGAGTAATTGCGTTTTGTGTTTCAGAAATCTGTTAAGATGAAATTTCTAAACTCAGTTGTTGGGGAAGGCTTGGATTCCTACCCCACACCTTTACCTTGCTGCACAGCACAAGGCATAAGATTGGCCACACCATCCAGAAAAGTAAAATAAAGACCATCATAGTAACATGCCTTTAATTTGAAGTCAATGTCAGCAAATAACCTAGTCTACAAAGTACTTAATAGAATTTTACAAAAGTAGTAACATTACATTTTTGCATACTCTATGCAAGTTTGTAAAGAAATTGTTACAAAGGGTCTCTCTACAGGTTCTATCTTGTGTTGCAAATGTGTAAGTCATCAGTTATATTAACATAACTTGGTACAAAAAAGGAACGTAAACAGACACCTGGCTTCTGGCAGTAAGCAGGCCAAAAATCTTGTTCAGCTGCCAATTCATCACAAAATGTGCTGTTGTTATTAATGTTTGTGTTTTTCCTGAAGGGCCAGTCCTTCTAGAGCAAAGGAACTCCCATGAGAAATTGCCACTGGATTATGTCGAGTCAGTCGCAGTAAAGGAAGAACTTTTGAATCTTGTCTATCCAGGAGAGAGCATTGAAAACTTCTATGAATGCAGAGAACAAGATTTTTGCAATCAGAAGAAAGAACTGTATTTGATTTTATTTACTAAGATGCTGATTAATTTTTGTTCTGTTTATAATTTGTCTACACCCCTGACTGTAACTCTGAGAGCGATAGCTTGTTCAAATGTACTTCCAGTAATGGTTTATGATAGCTTTAAGATGAAAAATGCATCTTCTGGAGATTGGGTGGTAGATACGTATTTTAAAGAGCTAGAAACTTTTGAAAAGCTACCACAGTTTCTTCAAGAAATATCTGAAAGCATGTTATTCTTCCCTGGCGAACAGGCAAAGGCCTTATTAGCAGTTCTGGAAACTATGGTAGAAGCATGTCAGTGCCTAAATCTTTCTAGCAGTTAAATTCCAAACAACCACATGGCTGAATCTTGAGTGTTACTACCTTCTACTTGCCTAACAGATCTGAATGTGTGTGATCTTAGGAATGTGCTACATCATTTACACTCAGTTAAACTGTCTTGGAAGTTTTGGGGGTTTTTTTAAGTGCCTTGTGCCATATTCTCTTTGGTTTTCGGAGGCAGTGACCCTAAACTTAAACCAAACAGTTGATTGTTTCATTTCCTGAGAAAGGCTTGTGTCTACATGTTTTGTTATCCTTTAATAAAGCTAATGTTATAAATATGTCATGAAATAAAAACATATGGAAAAGCAAATTCCTTCTATCCATTTTCATCTTATTAAAAAAAATTATATTATGTAAATTAATTGCATATTGCAAAATTCAAAAGAGAAGGCATTATATATTTACAGAATGAATATTTAACATTTCTCATGTCTTTGTTTGATAGAAATGGTCACAGAAAGACATGTGGAAAATGTTGTTCCTCATCAGCACTATGTTGCTTGTAGTCTCATTTATTTGTGCAGTGACCCAGTGAAGGAGACTGGCTCGGACACCTGGGTGATCTGCAAAATTCCAGCGCATACCACTTGCTGCTTTCCAAGTCAATGATGCTTTGAAGAACTGAATTCACCCTCAGCAAAACTTAAGGCTGTCCTTGGCTCTGCTCCAACTCTTACTGGCTTGCAGTGATTTGATAAAACCATTACTCTGGCATGTAATGATCTGGTATCATTCCTGGGACTACCTCAAAGGAAGATACAGAAGGTGGCAGAAATCTAGTTATGTTGGGAGAGGAATTTACAAAGGATAGAACAAGAGTTTAAGCATATACTGGACATCATATTCTGAAACTAAGAATGGATATCCTTAAAAATTATGCCCCACTTAATATGGAACTTTCATTCTCCATTCTGTGAGTACACATAAACTACACATGATAAACCCTCTAAACTAATGCCCTAACCTAACAATTTAGGATTATATGCTACATATTCTATCAGACATTTAAATTAAGAAAAATTTCCACACTGTTCTTTAAAAGGTATTGAAGGCAAGGCAGATGAATTACCTAATTGTTCTTGTGGGTTTTGGGGAACCCTTACTGCTCATTTATACAGAAACAACTACAATTCCTGCCCTGCATCTTTGTAGAGATCTAAGTAATTCTATACTAGTATCTGGAAGAGAGACAAACAGAAGTTTATCCCTTTCCCTTCCAAGCGAAGAGAAATAAGAGCTGCTTTAGAGTAAGGATACGTGATTTATTTTTTTTCTAAGAGATTCAGTAATAGATTACTTAGAAACTTAGCCTTTAAAAGGTAGGTACAACAACATTGCAAATAAGCAACATTGCAAATTCCAGTTTTCCTGTAATAGACACTTATTATAATTTTTTAAAAAGAAAAAAAAAAGAAAAAAAAGAATGGGTGTGAAGTAAGAGCTGCTTAAGTAACTGATCTTGCTAGACCAGAGGGATTAAATTCCATTGATGCATCTGGCATGCAGCACATTAAAATTTCCATTTAGTCTTTCTGCAGCTGAGATATATGATCTTATAGCAATCCACAGAAGATGCTCAAACCAAGCTGACTTTGGAATCAGACCTTCCTTACAAATGTTCCATGCTTAATGACCTATTATTATTTTTATATATGCAGGCAGAACAACCTGCTCTAATAGACTAAAATGTCAATGCGTATTGGATTTGTTTCTGTCTGTGCACTTTTAATTTTTCTCTAGTAAGAAACACTAAAAAAACCTTTGTCATACATGAAATGGACTAATAAAACTTCAGTATTTCCTTTTGTCAAACAAAATGAAAGAAATGTTATGTGTTTACTTTCTAAGGAGTGCAAAACATAAGTTTACAATAGTAACATTTGCTTTTAGTCAATAATTTGATGCATAATTGTGAATTTTCAGTAAGTGGGATTCAGAGGACCCTGAAAAACTTATGGTGGGTCTCAAAAAGCAAATCCTTCAGAATATTCAGAATTCTAACATACCGCTGACTAAAATGAAAGCAGGAAAAGCTTCCATTCCATTCATTTTGGCCTGATTCTGCTTATTTAGGAAAGATGTGCCTGCAATTATTTGTTATTGTTTATATCATTTAAAAAGAAAAAAAATCCGCACATTAATCATTTAAAAAGTCATACTTCACTACTTAAAGTAATATCAAGTACCTCCCTCCAAGATCATGTAGGTAACATATGCTAAATTACCATAATTAACATTGGAAAACAAAACAGTCAAAAGTTAGCAAATATGTTAATTATGTTCCAGAAGTAGCCTCAGCTAAAACAGTGTCTGTGCACATCATCAGTCTTTATATGGTAGCATAATTCTGTTCTAATATTCTCTTAGTTTAAGGATCATACATTCAAAGTTTTCCTGTTATTTCCCAGTTCTTGCAGTTCAGTTTTACATATACTCAAATTTGAAAAGTTCATACCCTTAAAAGATTTTAAGCATATCAGTCATATTTAACATAAAATAATATGCTTCATCCAATTTATCAGAGTACCTGTTCGCTTTCAGTATAGCAAAACTTTCCTGTTAAAGTGAGATCTATTAATAAGTGATTGTTTGCTTTTTAAAATCTCTCTTGGTATGTAGGGTACCCTGTCTTAGCTAAAAGAACACACAAAATCACCCTTCTTCTCTAAATGCCCACATTTCACACACTGACATACTTCAGAAACACAAAGGTGTATCCTTCCATATACAATACGGAATATAAGTATACATATTTGATAAAGTATATTATTCCCTCAATCAATCCTATTTTCCTAAGCCTTTAAAAAGCCTTTTAAAAGTTCTTAATTATTTTTCACGTTCAGCATACAGCTGGAGAATATATGTACCAGATGATGATGCTGCAATGCTACTTTCCAGTCAGGTGAGTAACAGGTTAGCAAACTTGACAGCAGTAAAGCAAACGGTAGAGGACACTGGGATACACGAGTCAGGAACTTGCACACAAAGATGTTGGTCAAGCTTTGAAAGTTGCCCAAAAAGTTGCATTAAACATTAATTTCAGTGCTGTATACTCTGTGTCCCGTCCCACTGGAAAATGGGGAGTCAGGGAGGATTCTTTTTGATAGATTTCTCAGAGGAGAATAAAGCGTAAACACAGCAATATTAGATCTGAGACCCGTTTACTGATAAAAAAGGGTGTTCCTACAAAAGCGAGTTAGGAAAAGGAGCACAGAGGGAAAAAAGAGAGACGGAGAAAGAAAACGAAGACAGGTGAAATAAATGGGCAGGAGATCTTTCTCCTTTTTAATGCCTTTATTAAAGAGAATCAGCTCAGCTCAGGTGGGGAGAATGTAACCTTAAACAAAAATAGATAACTTTTTATTCATAACAACAGGGACAGTACTACCACAAGAACGCCGGCACTCAGTCACCGCTGCCTTGGCAGGCGGAGCGTGTGCGCTGTAAGCAGCGCTGCGTTTGCGTAGTTCCCATGGCGGGCTGGGCGCCATTTCCAAACAGCAGCCGGCTGCGTGTTCCCTCCGTTGGCAGAGAACAGGCTGTCGTGGTCCAGGTGCAGCCCTGGAGCACCTGCGGGTTCCCAGGCTGGGGCGCTGCGGCTGCGGGCGGGATTGAGTGCAGGCGGCGGCTGCGGCTGCAGCGTGGGAAACACGCTGAGGGCTACGGTGGCGGCTGGCGCAGGAGGTGGCGAAGGGCTGGGCACTAGGGGCTAGTGCTACGGCAGGTTAGTGGGGCGGGCAGCACAGGAAACATAGTGACTGTTAAAAATAGGTTAGAAACGTTTGTAAAATAGTTGATAATTGTTAAGCATGTACTGTTAGTTCGGTTGTTACGTTGTAAAAGGGGTTAAAAGGATAGTTATAAGAAATACGGTACTCAACGTACCGTATTACACCTAAGCAAAGCGCACCACTGCCCAGCGAAACAAGCCAACCTGGTCGGAACTGTAATGGGCCAATCAAGCGCCTAAAACCTTCATGCAAATGAAGGTTCCAAAAAGAAACCAATCCAGAGGGGCAAAAAAAACCAGGATAAAAAGGGGCGTCTGACCCACTAAATGTGTGCCGCTTGCCTGGAAGATGGGGGACATGACTGCTGAGGAAGACCCAGCGCTGGCGCAGCAGCATCCTTGACGGGAATGCTCCTGCTTGGCCCGCGGGCCCCCATGTTTTAAGCCTTTCTTTTTATTATAATAAATGCTGAAATCACTTTTAGTACCAGGATTCTGGTCCTGTTTTTAACAGCGACGGTGGTGGCTGTGGCTGGGTACAGCCTGGCGTCGGCTGTGCCTGGGGAAATAACGGGGGCGACTGGCTGCAGTGGTGCCCGCTCCGTCAGGGAGGCAGCAGAGCATGGGGTCATCCCTGCAGTGAGCTGGTTCGCTAAAAAGGTGATGCAGGGCGAAGAAGATACGGGCAGAAAGCAGGACCACTGGGAGAAAAAGGCGGGAGGCTGGAGGCGCAGGAGAAAGGCCAAGCTGGCCCTCCGAGCGAGCCCCTGACCGCTCTGAAAAACCCAAAGCGAAAATGACTGGCCTGGTGTCGCGGCTGGCTGCTCTCAGCAGCTATGGCTTCTCCCACAGCTCGGCCAGCCTGGCATTTGCCCCACCGGCCAATGCGAAGGATCACTTGCTGCCCGATTATGGAGGCTTCCTCTGCCCTGCTTGGTTGCCAGGCCAAGCCTCCCACCAGACAGGCCTCCAAGCACATGTACGACCCCTATAATATATGTTGAGGCATAAATAAAAATAAAATTGGTCCGTCTTACTGTGTCATATATTCTTTGTTTCATGCTACTCCATTACAAGATAGGAAGCGCATCACATCAAAAATTGTTTGGAAGAAGTTTTGCAGAGCATTTCTTGATTTCAAAATGGTCACTCACACTGGCAAATAAGTACTGCCAGAATATCAGTCTGGCCTCAAAAGTTTTGCCATTGATTTATTTTATATGGAAGCAAAATTTAGCATAAGAAATTTGAATATTGCTGCAGCTTCAATGCCCATTTAAAATTTGTTGTAACAGAGAAGAGGTTCAGACCTCAGTCTGAGCTCCCTTAAACAATCTAACTGAATAATCCTGAAGCTCTTCCTGCACCATCTACAAGTCTGACTGCAGTTAAGTCGCTGTATTACAAAAGGTACCAAACCATGTTTCATCCCCCCTCATCAACTTTTGAATACTGTGCTCTGTTTTGTGACCCTCATGACAAGAAAAATGTTGAGGTGATAGAGCATGTCCAGAGAAGGGCAATGGGGCTAAGGAAATGTCTGGAGTACAGGTCAAATGAGGAGTGGCTGAGGGAGCTGGGGGACTTTGGCCTGGAGAAAAGGAGGCTGAGG